TATAGAATTAGAGTCGTAGCAGTGATATCTCGAGCCCGCAGACCGCCGAAAACGCGTGATAGCGCGCCACACATACGCGCCAACATCAGGGACACACTCTCTCTAGCGCCCGGGCGTGGCGGCCGCCCGCAGCGTGCCCCATAGGCCCTGCTGCGACGTCGCCTTGCGGCTGCGCGCCGCCTGCAGCCGCACGACCGTGGGCGGGTCGATGCGGAGGAAAGTGGCCAGCACCTGGAAGAGCGAGTCGGCGGAGGCGGTCCCGTCCTCCTCCTCGATGTACTTGATGATGACGGAGCGGAGGTAGGCGAGGGACGTCTCGCCGCCCGCGCCGCCCCCGCCGCGCAGCTCCCGCTCCGCGACCTCGAGCCGCGCCTCCGCCGCCGACAGCTTCCGGCGCGCGTCCGCGAGCTGCCTCCTACTCGCCGACACCAGCCACGCTCAGCCGATCTCCGCCGAGATTCGACGAGAGGGGCCGAGAGCAGCAGCCGCTGCCTCAAGTACACCTCCTCCGCGCCGCCGCCCTCCGCCCTGTCGGAATCGCGGGCCTCCGCCGCCGCCGCCGCCGGCCTCGTCGCCGCCGGCGAGGGCGGCGAAGCGGCGGCCGCCGACGTCGCTGCCGTCGCCGGCGGCGGCGGCGGCATTGGCGTGCGGCGCGGAGTGAAGAGCGAGGGCGGCAGCAGCCCGTTGAGCATGCCGCCGCCGCCGCCGCCGCGCTGGTTGCGCGCTCTCTCGAGGCGGCGCATCTCCTATGGATGCCTCGTCTCGCCGTTTCGGCAACGGGTTGGACTGCGAATGCGCCCGCTCGGCGGCGCATCTCCTCGGGCGTGAATTGGAGGCGCAGCGCGAGCACCTGGGGTGTTTGTCATTATCGTCGGTGTTATTATTATCACGTGTGTGGGTGAGTGCGGGTGAGGTGTGTTGGAGGTGTGAGCATGTGTGTGGGAAGGCAGCGGCAGCACCTGCAGCAGGTGGCCGTCGTCCGCCTCTCCAACCTCCAGGAACTTGAGCAGCGTATTCTTGAGGAACGGGTCCTGAAAGACACACGAACAGACGCCCATCACACCTCCATCCTCAGTCCGAGATGAGCCAGCCTCTTCGTGACAGAAGCGATCCTCCGCCGCCGCCGCTCCTCCGGCCGCGCCGCCGCCGCCTCCGCCGCCGCCGCACGAGCCGCGAGCCTGCTCGAGATTTGACGAGATTGCTCGAGATTCGCCGAGATCGCCCGAGATTGCCGGGGATTCGCCGAGATTCGCCGCGAGCCTGCTCGAGCTCGCTCCTCGCGCGCAGCAGCCGCCGCTCCGCCTCGGCGCGCGCCCGCTCCGCCTCGACTCGCGCAGCGCTCTCCGTCTCGAGGCGCGCCTGCAGTGCGGCGTGCCAGATCTCCCCACATCTCCCCCATATCTCCACACATCTCCCCACATCTCCCCACATCTCCCCACATCTCGAGGCGCGCCTGCAGTGCGGCGTGCCGCTGCAGATCGCGCGCGATGCGCTCGTCGACGCCGTCAAGCAGCGACGGCGCCGCGTCCGCACCGCCGTCCACCCCTGGCGGGCTCGCCGCTCGGTCCGCAGCAGCTCTGGCCCCGTGCGGCGCCAGGGCCGCGCTGTAGGCGCCGTGCGCAGCGGAGGGCGCGGCGGACGGCGAGGAGGCACTGTCAGAGGCTGCCGCCTGCGCCTTGCTCGCTGCCGCCGCCGCGCGCAGGGCCTGCAGCTGCGCCTGCAGCGAGCCGGTCTCCTTCTCCTTCTGCTCGAGGAGCTTGCGCGCCTTTGACTTGGTCTCGGCCGCCGCCGCCTGCGCTCGCTTGGCCTCCGCCGCCTGCAGCAGCTCGTGGGGGAGAGATGGGGGAGATATGGGGAGATGAGGGGAGATGTGGCCTCCTCCGCCTGCAGCAGCTCGCGCGCCTCAGCCGCGTCTCTCGCCGCCACCGCCGCCGCCTCGCGCGTCGCCGCCGCCTCCGCCTCCGCCCTCGCCGCCTCCGCCTCCGCCCTCGCCGCCTCCGCCTCCGCCTTTGGCACGACGTCGGCCGACACCTCGACGTGAGCAGACGCGGCAGGCGCCGTGCGCTCTCCCTCCACAGCGCCGGCGGCGATGGCGGATATGGTGGACATGGCGGCGGCGTTGGCGGACGTGGCGGCGGCGGCGGCGGGAGCAGAGGAGGAGGAGGAGGGGAAGGAGGAGGAGGAGGGCCGGGCGGCGGCGACTCCATTCCCTTTCTGCGACAACTGCCCCTGCCGCTGCTGTTGCCCCTGCCCCTGCCCCTGCCGCTGCTGCTGCCGCTGCTGCTGCTGCTCCCGCGCCCTCTCCTCCTTGAGCTGCTCCAGAGCCTGCGCCTGCGAGCGAGCCTCGGCGAGGGCGAGCCGCTGCTCAGAGCGCGCCTCGTCGACCGCGGCCTAGTACCATACCTCCAGAGGATCGAACCCAGTGTGGGTTCAGTCCCGTGGGCGGTGCGGTAGAGCCTCCGCGGCGGCGAGCGAGGCGCGCAGCGCCGTCCGGTCAGTGTCTGCGGCGGCCATCGCCTCCTCGACTCTCTGCAGCGCCAGCTGCGCCCTCTTGAGCTCTCTCGCTTGCGCGGCGACCTTGTCCGCCAGCATCGCCTACGTCAGTCTCTGCTGCCGCCTCTCCTCTTGTGATCTCCTCTTGCCCGACCTCGCCAGTCGGCGTCGCCTGCCGCACGCGACTCGAGTTCACGAGGCCGCCCCGCGTCGCGGGCGTCCCCGCCGCCGCGCCCGCCGTCGCGCCAGCTGGCGTGGCGGGAGGCTGCTGCGGTCCCGGCGGCGGCGGCGGCGCAGCGGCGGCGGCGGCGGCGGCGGCGGAGGCAGCGAGCTGCGCTTGGGTGAGCTGGGCGTGGAGGGCGGCCCGCTCGGAGCGGGCGGCTGCGGCGGCGAGCCGCAGCTGCTCCATCTCCTCCTCCTGCTTCTTGATCTTCCGCAGCGCGCGCAGCTTGGTCGCGTTGAGCTCCTCCTGCAGAGCCGCCGCCCGCAGGCCCGCCCGAGCCGCCTCCGCCGAAGCGGCGGCCGACTGGGCCGGCTGTGCCGCTCCGGCCGTGGTGGCGCCGCCCGCCGCCGCTCCAGCTCGCTCCTGTGTCGGCTGCGGCTGCGGCGCCGGCGCCGGCGTCCGGTGGGGCGGCGGCGGCTTCCGTGCGCCATTCTCAGGCGGAGGCGCGTTCGGAGCTCCTCGATTGCTCTGCCGCTCGTCGCCACCGATCGAGAAGGCGCCGGCCCGCGCGGGCTTCTTGCGCTGCGAGGCAGGGGCGGCGGCGGCGATAGTGCTGGTCGCCGCCTTCTCGTCAAAGCCCATGTCCCACTCGGACACCTTCTCGGTCAGCGCCGCGGCCTGCACGGCGGCGACGCTGGCGGCCTCAGCCGCAGCCGCAGTCGCCGCGGCGGCGCGCTCCTGGATCGCTTGCGCAAAGTTCATCGTGCGGGGATAGAGCGTTTACCGAGGCATCGAGCCGGCTGCTGCTCCCGCCGCTGCTCCCGGTGAGGCTCCGCTGCTCCCGCGTCGGCGCCGCTGCGACTGCTTTCTGTGAGTTTTTAGTGGTTGTGTCAAATCACTGTGAGTTTTGTTTTAGGTGTGTTGTTGGCACTGTGAGTGACTTCTTGCAGCTGACGCAGTCTCGCCGAGGCTCGCCCCAGCATCTCTCGGGTTGACTCGGCCAGACAAAAACCCCCAGAGGCGTGGGAGTACCTCGCCAGGTTGTGTTCTGGTTTGGAGCACTTGGACGCGGTATGGCTTTCTCTTTCTTTCCAATTCACCCATCCCTCCTTATCAGAATTTGAAGTTGCTGAAGGTGTGTTTCTGTTGTTTGCATTTAAGAATTTAAACAAAAGAACTCTCTCTCACAGCAGACAGGCTCGACACAGGTGCGAACTGGCGCGCATTTAAGAAAAACACCGAAGAACGCGGACTCACGGCCGAGCACCGACACCGACAGCTGGACACCGAGAGCCACCCGGATCAGCCCACATGCCCTTCCTCCCCTCTCTCCTCCTCCTGCACTCGCTGGCGATGTTTGCGCCTCCGTTACGATGGCCGGCTCCACGCCGTCGCCCGCGCGGTGCCGCCGCGCTCGGACTCGGCGACCTCCTCGACGCGGCCGCCGAGGGCGACCTGGCCGCCAACATCGAGGCCGTCTCCCTGCTAGCAGCCTCCGCCGTTGGCGTCGCCGCGGCGCGCGGCCTCGTCGAGGGCGAGCCGCCGCCGCCGCCGCCGCCGCCGCCAGACGACGACTCTCCCGACGACACGGGCCTCGTCGCCGTCAGCGTGGACCTCGGCCAAGACGGCGAGCCGGCCGGCGTCGCCCGCCTGAACTTGCGGCCGCGGCGGCGGCGGAGCGACATCCTCCTCTTGGAGCGTATGCGGCTTCCGCTCGGCCTGGTGATTGAGGAGGTTGCGGGCGAGATCGTGGTGACGGGCGCGCTTCCGGGCTACGGCGCGGTGGGGCAGGCGGCGGAGGGAGACGTCGTGCGCGGGCTGACGGCGTGGGCGCCGGTGTTGGCGGGCAGCCCGATGTGGCAGCAGGTCACTTCCGGCACGCCGCTCGGCACGCGGCAGCTCAAGCGCGTCCTCTTCTCCGCCGACGGCGCCACCTTTGGCGACGTGCGCGGCGCGATCGCGTCGCACCGCGCCGACGCCGGCGGCGACGGCTACGCCACGCTCATTGTCGAGCGGGTGAGGGAGGAGGGCGAGCCGGCGGGAGCGGTGTCGCCGTCGCAGCGGCCCTCGCTCGAGCCGCTCGGCGCAGTCCTTGCTCGCGACCTGCGGCTGCCGGCCGGAGGCGACGCGGCGGCGGCGGGGGTGGACCAGCGGACGTGGGCGGAGCGCGCCGGAGCGCTGCTCGGCGGAAGCGGCGACGAGGACGACGAGGGTGGGCCGGGAGGGGAGAGCAGACGGTAACTGAGTAATAAGGACGGAGAACAGTCAGGGCGCCGCTGCCCAGGATGGGTGCAAATTCGTGCGGTTCGCGCAAGATTTCTTATTCCGCCATCAAGAAAACGATATGCCGGTGGCTGCGCTCCCGCTACACCCGACCGCTACGTACGTGGGCAAGGGCTTCCCAAAGTTTGGCCAGCCGCGCGAGATCGCCCACTTCTCGCGCGACGCCTCGCGGCGGGTCCGCTTCGACAAGAGCGGTCTCGGCGCCTACCGGACGCCGCGGCTGCCAGCGGCGCTTGACGTGGGGTTTGAGAGCTACGTTCCTAAATCGCACGACCCAAACGAGCCCGCGCCGCTCGGCGACGTCGTCGCCGCCCTCTCCCACAAGGGCGTGCGCACCACCGACGCGCACATCCTGACGTACCGCAACAACCTCAACAAGATCTTTGGGACGGTCTACAACCGGAAGGACGACTGGGAGGTTGGCGTGGAGCGGTGCGCCGACGGCACGGTCCTGCTGCACGTCATGGACACCGAGCGCAAGCGGGCGGAGGAGGCGAGGCGCGACGAGCGGCAGCAGCGGATGTCCTACTGGGGCTACAAGTTTGAGCAGCTGGATTCGACTAGATGCCGCTCCGAATGCAGCACAGCACCCGAGTCCAAACTGCCGCCCCTGAGCAATACACGACGACCTTCGCACACAGTGCACAACACGCTGCACGCGGCCGTACTCGCGTCCTGATAGCGGCGTCTCCACGGCGCAGGCTGTCGACACACCATAGCTCCCCATATCTCCCCATGTCTCATCTCCCCATGTCTCCCCCATATCTCCCTCAGGCTGTCGACCCTCGACGGCGGCGAGGACGACGGCGGGCCGCTGCCGCCCGTCAACGCAAACGAGGAGTTTTGCTCGAGCGTCCACCAGATGCGGAACATGCGGAATGCAGACCAGCCAGTCACTCCAGTCTTGCACGCGGACGGCGGGTGTCACACGCACACGCACGCTGCGCACGACTGGCTCGGGAGCCAACACGAGGCTGCTTCCCTTGCCTTCGCCGCCCTCGTGGCAGCGCTGCACTCCCTGCCGTCGTCGCCCTCGTCATCACGCCCCTTGGGGCTCCACCGCCGCTGTCCAGCTCTCCACCACCGCAGGATTGTCCATAGCTCCCCATCTCTCCCCCTCTCTCCCCCTCTCTCCCCCACCGCAGGATTGTCCAGCTGTCCATCGACCGCACGAAGCTCTTCATGGCGGCCGAGATCGACTGCGCCGCCACCGGCGGTGGCGGCGCCCCAGCGGCGGGGTGTGTGGATACAGCCGAGGAGGCGGGAGAGCGTCGCGGCAAAGCTCGGCTCTCAGGCTTGAGCGTGCTGGCTGAGTAGGTGGGCTGAGTGAGATCTGGGGAGATATGGGGAGATATGGAGCGTGAGTAGGTGACTGAGTGAGCCCATCCGCGACTCTCGCCCCAGCCCTTGCCCTAGCCACTACCCCGACTAATCCATTTCGACTCTCGCCCCAGCCCCTGCCCTGGCCACCCCTTGACTAGCCGACAAAACCCTCATCACTCACCACCCCCCTGGGCCATCACTGCAGGTACGTCGAGCTGAAGACGAGCAAGCGGCACGCGTCTCCCCGCGATGAGGAGACAGTGGTAGCAGCAGTAGCAGTAGTAGTAGCAGCAGCAGCAGCAGTAGGAGTAGGAGCAGTAGCAGCAGCAAGCGACGAGGAGCAGTGGGTAGACATGCACACGCCGTCTACCTGCCGTCCGCCTGCCGTTGCGCTTGCTGTGCACAGGAGAGCTTCCAGCGGCACAAGCTCTTCAAGTACTGGCTGCAGGCGGCCCTCCTCGCCCTGCTGCCGCCGGACAGTGCCGGCCCTGTCCAGGACACGTCCATGACATGTCCGCGGGTTTGCCCTGCAGTCTTTCCTCGCGGGCGTGCCGACTGTGCTCGTCGGCTTCCGCGACGAGCGAGGGACGGTGCGGCGAGATTGCGCGAGATGGCGGGAGATTGCGCGAGATGGCGGGAGATTGCGCGAGATTAGGTGCACGAGCTCAAGAGCTTCGAGACCTCGACGATGCACAGGCTCGTGCGCGGCGCGCGGGACTAGATGCGGAGTCTGTATCCCGGGGCCCTACCTCCTACCTCCTTCCTCGAGGTGGACAAAAGCGGACACCCCAGTAGTAGCGATGGGTGAAGCAGCGGGGCCCCTACCTCCTCCCTGCTGTCTTTGTGCAGGCCCGAAGCTGAGACACATTTGTATTCCAACGACCCCTCGAGAGGAGACGCACTCCGCCGCATCCCGCCGCATTCCGCTGCCTTCTTTGTACTCGTAGCCCCTCGCATTTACGCGGTGCCACGGATGCATTGGTGTACTCACTGCTCACCCACGTGCGCCGGGCCTTGCACTCTGAATGCCGTGCTAGCCCTTGCCTGTTCTGGGTGTGGAGTCGCGAGGGTTGCCCGGCCCTTGCCCCACCTGTGTGTGTGTGTGTGTGGAGAGAGAGGCCTACCCTGCCAACCTGCCGTTAGGCGCGGGGCGAGAGCCCTACTGGGAGCCCGCCGCCTGCATCAACTTTGGGAAGGGCGTGCTCGAGTGGCTGCTCGCCTCGCTCGCCGCCAACCCCGCCGCCGCGCACTACGTCATGCGGTACGAGCCGCGCCAGTCGGCGATCCTCCTGCTGCAGCGCGATGGCGGCGGCGGCGGCGGCGGCGGCGGCGGCGGCGGCGGCGGCGGCGGCGGTGGCGGGGAGGACGGGCCTGCGTACCGCGTGCCGTCGCCGTCGGACGCGGGCTCGTACGAGCACCTCTTTGGAAGGGAGGCGGTGGCGGCGCTGCACCAGCGGTACGGCGGGGGCGGGGGCGCGGGGGAGCCGCCGACGAAGCGGCCTCGCGCTGCCTTTTGAGAGCCCACACTGATGGTGTGGGAGATGGACGTGGACGTCGAACACAACTCATGCAAGTAATTGTTGAGCTGAGAAAACGAATGAGCAAAAATTGTTTCTTTCATCGGTTCGTTACTGCATAGGACTGTGGTCGTCACTGGCTCACTCGTAGTCGTACTGTTGTATAGCCTAAAGTCTGTGTAGGTTGTGAGGGACACGATCCCGGCGTGAACACAACTAACTGACATATCCGCTCCTGACAGTCGCACGCGCCGCGCTGCGGCGCGTGCGACTGTCTTTGTTTGAAGTTAAAAGTCGAATCAGAGCGCCCGTCGGCGCTGTCCCTCGTTTTCCTCCCACGGACCGCCCGTCCGGGACCGCTCCGGGACGCACGCCGGCGAAGCACCATCAAGCTGCTGTACGGCCCCGGCATCGCCTCCCCAGGCTTAGCTAGACTGAGAGATATTGTGCACATGGTTGGTTTCTACAATATATACACTGTCACTGACACTGACCCTCCCAGAGCTCGTCCCGGTCCGCCACGGCCATCCTCGGCCTCCGGAGGGCCCCCGGCCGCGGCGCGGTGCGGCGGCGTCACAAATCCGACGGCAGAGCACCGGGACGCGGTCGGGCGATCTGAGGCCCAACTAGGCGTATGCATTGCCCACCCAGGGCTATCACCTGGACCTATCAACAGGCGCCTGCGGCGCCGTGCTCAGGAGCTGCTGCTCCAACCTATTCACACTTTCGTACGGCACAGTAGGGTTGTCAAACGTTAAGAGCTGAACAGTGTTGCTAGTGTTAACAGTAAACAACAGAACAACAGTGGGGCTCCCCAACAACAGTAGCTAACGTTGGCCGACTTAGGGTTGTCAAACGTTAACTTTGGGCCTAACAGTTGCACTATTGTTGTCTGAAATCCTCAACGTTGTTCAAGTGTTCTCCCCAGCCGCCAGCCCAAGCTGTTACTGTTTGTTACTGTTGTTACTGTTGAGTGTTGTTCAGTGGTCAGCAAGCAGAAAAAACCCGGGTAAAACCCAAAAATACCTGGGTTTTCCCGGGTATTTTCGGGTATTACCCGCACTGGACGCTGGAGATCGTCGCGGGTCACTTCCAGGCCTTCCTTATTGTTGTTCAGCCGGCGTCGGTGTTTTGTCCCACCCTGAGCATTGACTCGATGGCATTGTGCTCCTCCCGCCCTGGGGTTGTGCTGTCTTCCTCCTCCTCCGCCGTGTGCCGGGGAGTCGATCAGGCAGTTCACTTTGGGGGCTACGGGTATCCCCCCTGGCTTATATACTTTGAGATTAGGCATCAAAAGTGGTTCACAGTGGTCAGTGGAGGCGGTCTCGACGTCCTACGGGTCTGCGACCCGCGGGCGCCTTGCGTGCAGAGCCCTTAGCCACCATTTATGTCTTGCGCGCTCATAAAATAAATTGGGTTGAGTTTTTCACTCGCACCCTTTTCGGCCCGCGTAGCAGCCCGCACATAGTCCATAGAGAGCGAACCCTGGCGGTCACTGGCCTGCCGCTGAGCGCGCCGGCGCCCGTCTACCTGCGGAGCTGGATCAGGTGGATGAGGTCGTTGCACCGGTCGGCCGCGTAGATGCGGCCACGCGGGCCGACGCAGAGGCCGCGCAGCATGGGCTGCTTGCCGCCGGGCGGGCAGAGGATGGCCCGCGACTCGCCCTCGGGCGTGAAAGCCTGGGGACGGTGCGGGGTGGGGTGGGGGGGTGGGGCGGGGGGTGGGGGGGCGGGGTGGGGCGGGGCGGGGCGGGGCGGGTGGGGGTGGGGCGGGGCGGGAGGGGAGGGGGAGGGGGGGTTGAAGTAGAGAGGGAGGCCGCAAGCAAGGCTGCGGGGAGAAATGCTGCCGGACTCCAAGAGAGGCTGCGGGGAGAAGAGTGGCGGCAGGGAGAGTGCCGCGGGTGCAGGCGGCAAGTGTGAGAGGGCCTGGATGCGGCGGCCGTAGACCCCCTCCGTCACAAGGACGTGCCCCGCCTGACGGGGCAGTCCTGCATTCATTCTCCCCACATCTCCCCATATCTCCCCCTGTCTCGAGGCCCCGCCTGATGATTGAGACCTCTCCATTCACTCATTCGTTGTGTTGTGACCCGAGAGATGCCCGTATCTCCCGTATCTCCCCGTATCTCCCCATATCTCCACCACGAAGTGCCCCGCCCGCGTCGTACACACACACCACAACTCAGAGCGCGGAGCGGCGCCGTGCTGTGTCTTGGGGGCATCGCGCGAACACAACAGGTCCGCAAGCACACGGGTCCGTCTCCCGCATCTAGGGTGCGATCTCAGAGGTCTCCCCAGATCTCCCGCATCTAGGGTGCGATCTCCCCGTATCTCCCGCATCTAGGGTGCCCCGCCGCGAAAGCGACTCCGGCCGGGCCGCGGACGCAGCCGGGCGCGTCGCCGAAGGTGGAGAAGCAGTGGCGGTAGGCGCCGTCGTCGGCCGAGAAGACGGAGATGCGGTGGTTCTCGCGGTCGCAGACGTAGACGCGCCGCTCGCTCACAGTGAAGGCGCACGGCGAGCTGAGCGCGCCGCGCTTGCGCCGCGACGCCATCACACGGCTGTGCCTACGCGACTCGGATAGGTCTCGGACTGTCGTGGACGTGTCTCGGACGTGTCGTGGACGTGTCGTGGACGTGTCCCAGAGTCTGGCGACGCCGTCACAAGCTGCGCCACTCTCGTCGGCTGTGGGAAGGGCCCCATCTCGGGTCGATCTCGGGTCGATCTCGGCTTGATCTCGGGTCGATCTCGGCTCGATCTCGGCTCGATCTCGCCACTCGTCGGCTGGGAAGGGCGGGATCGTCCCCTCCTCGTCGTTCCCGCCGAAACTGAAGCGCGCGGGCGCCGTGCCGACCCGCGGCTTCCCCGCCGCAGACACGCCCGTCCTCCCGCCCCTCGCGCACATCTCCGCCGCGTCGAAGGCCGCGATCCGGTGCGCACTGCGGTAGCAGGCCCAGAGGGTGCCGCCTCCTGCAGGAAGGGTCCGAGAAGGCTCTGAGCAGGCTGCGAGAAGGCGAGCGCGCCCACGAGACGCCGCCGCCGCGTGGCGAAAAAGGCGAACGCGAGGTATGGGGAGGTATGGGGAGATCTCGGCTAGATCTCGATGAAGAGATCTCGGCCAGATCTCGATGAGATCTCGGCCAGTCCTCTCCGTGTGTCGAGAGCTCGAGTGCGACGGGGCCGCGCGTGGTGTAGTTGCGGTTGAAGCCGGGCTGCGTGCGCAAATCCTCGTTCGGCTGCAGCTCCCACTGGCCTAATCACTCATTAGTCATGAATCAGTGACTGGGGATCCGGTCCTCCGTCGGCTGCAGCTCCCACTGGCCTAATCACTCATTAGTCATGAATCAGTGACTGGGGATCCGGTCCTCCGTCGGCTGCAGCTCCCACTGGCCTAATCACTCATTAGTCACGAATCAGTGACTGGGGATCCGGTCCTCCGTCGGCTGCAGCTCCCACTGGCCTAATCACTCATTAGTCACGAATCAGTGACTGGGGATCCGGTCCTCCGTCGGCTGCAGCTCCCACTGGCCTAATCACTCATTAGTCATGAATCAGTGACT